GTATCTGATATTATAGATTTAAAAGATCCTCATATTATGAATATATTATATATGGATCCAGTACTATAAATCTAATACTACAGATCTAAAAAAAAAAAATTTAATGACTTTTTAAATCATCTTTCTGACCTATATTGAGAAAATTAATAACCTTTTAAATTCTCATTTTTTAATCTCTCCTTTGTGACATTATTATTTACCTCTCTTTCTTGGCCCTATCTCCTATTGTATTTTTCTCCTACTCCTCTACATTTTAGACCATGCTTATTCCTCCCACCCCTACAATCTTGCTGTGATATAGCATCAGTCTCAGGTCTTAGCTTTAGCCCTTTTCCAGAAAAGGATGAATCTGGGGGCAGGAGCAGGGCAGGAGAATAAACTAGTGGAAACTGAAAGGCCCAAATAGAAATAATTGAGATTGGCACAAGATGTCACTCTAAGTAACTTAGAGAAGTTAGTGTGGGAAGGATAGTAGGATTTATTGAGGGCCTACAGATGATAAAACTTTGACTTATAAAGAACGAGATGCTTTGAGTAACAATTCTTAGGTATGTCTGATTTAGAAACTCAAGCTTTTTCTCTATATTAATGGTGACACTCTTCATTCTAATAAAGAAAATTATAAATGTATTTTTAGTAATTAAAATTCAATGCTTTACATTCCTTTGGTTCATAAAATTACCTCATAATTTACCTAAATATAAATTATAAACATTAGCACATGGTAAATAAACTATTCTGATACTACATTAGCTTTCAAGTAGTATATATGCACTAATATTCCAAATTTAGCAGTTTGGAATCAAGTCAAATATGATTTTTCTTCCTGAATATAAATACCACTTGATTTAGCATAAGCAATCCTCCACACCAGATTCTCCCATCTTCCTTGACATCCCCCATTCATACCCATGGACCCCCACAGGCGTGTTTTGAATAAATTTCCAATGAGATTAGATGAAAGAATAAAGTAACTGCATGAACAGTTGATAGCCTTTTCTTCTACTTTTAAGCCACTAGTATCTAATTCATGATAAGAAGTAGACAATTTTTTTGGAGAACAAAAAACTATTGAAAAAAGTGAGAAAATGGCACATATACTAATCCACTATTCTTTTGTCATTATCAGTTAAGTTGAACTTAGGGCATGCTCCTTTTTGATTACCTACAATTGTTATTTCACCTTGTGCCTCTTCCTGCCACCCAAATCTACAGCTCCTTTGTAACATGACTCCAACTCCTACAGTTCCTATACTTACCAAGTAAATGTATTTCCCAAACACATCTTCTGCTTTCTTTCACCTTTTCTAGGACAAATGAAACTAATCAAGAGTTTGGTTTATCTACTGAATATAAAATCCTTTAATTACAAATAAAGCATTTAAATTTGTTATGATTTTCCTCCGCAGATTAAAAGTGGATTACCATGTACCTGTATTCTCTCAAAAGACATATCAAATGGGAATCTCATCATTAAAATTAAATATTGGACTTTAAATTGCAACAATATATAAAACTACATACTCTTGAAAAATTCTTCCACTAAAAAACAACTAAAACCCAGGTAAAACAATTGCACTGCATTGTTATACCCAACAGAAATGAAAGGAGGCAAAAATAAGGGAGAACAGCTAAACTAACACATGAACTATGAGCTGTAAGCACATGCAAAAGATGTGTTGCCATGATGACAAATGCCAAAACCAAAACTTTAATCTGGAGACTGGGCTTTAGGCCAGCCATAAGACAAAGAAGCAGAATCTCAGAAACATTTAAAAAAATAAAGTGTGTACATAAACAAATGCAAGTGACAAGGAACTAGAGGTAGTTATTATCAAGAATAGACTTAAAAGAAAAAAAGCAAATGTAGCCTTAAGTAAAAGACAAAATTATTCATATATAAAATCGCAAAGTATGGATTAGAAGGTACAAAATATATAAATAGAAAATTGGAAGATAAGAATGAAAATATTTCTGAGAATGCAGCATAAAGAAACAGCATAAAAAGTTTGAAACAGGTTAAGAAAAATGGAAGATAGAATGAAACAGTATAACCTATGTCTAATTACTGCCCTCGAAGAAATGATTTTTTAATGGAAAGAAGGCAATATTTACTGAAATAATGAGTGGAAATTTTAAGAAATGACATAAGATCTATACTACCCAAATACAGGATATATCCACATTCCATGGTACACACACAAAAATATCATATCTATTATGATGAAACTGCAGGACAAAATGAGAAAGATGAAATCTTAAAAGTAATAAGAAAAATGAAATTAATAGCTTTGTAGATAAATCTAAACAAGCACTGTCTTGATAAAGTAAATTACCTTTATAAAAAAAACAATAATGTTTGAAAGGAGCAGCCTTTTAAAGGGGATTTCTTTATATTTCACTTTTATTGACTTTTTTTTTTTTTTAGGTGAGGCAACCCTTGGTTGACCTCACAGATTGCAAGGACTTTTGTCAGCTTACAATCCCTTATTTTTTTTATTTTTTATGCCTACAGCACCTGGTCTTCCTAGGTGGTCTCCCATTCAAGTACTAACCAGGCTCGACCCTGCTTAGCTTCCAAGATCAGACGGGATTGGGCTTGTTGAGGGTAGCATAGCCGTAGACTATATTTCATTTTTAAAACAAAGACTAGAACAAACATTTATAATCTTTCACCCAATAATGCTAATTATTGAGTTTTATCTTAAGGAAATAAACAGAGTTATAAACAGAGCTCTTATGTACAAGGATTGACTTCTTGGAATTATCTGAAACAACAAAACAGAAATAACCAAAATGAGTATATATAGGGAGATAAAATACATCATAAAATATAAAAATGATAAAGTATTATAAGGATATCAAATCTAGTGATTCTGAAGTATATAATTATGAGAAATGTTATATGTTAAATGAAAAATAAATGTACAAAACTTCATGTAAAAATGTGTATAAATATGTTAGTATTTTACTTGAAAGAAACTACAAAAATGGCATTTCAATTTCATTACTTAAATATACATTTTATATATGTGTATAAATATATACACAAAAATATTAGAAGGAAATAAAAATAGTATTGATTATTAAAGTTGATTTAAAATTCATAAAAATTTAAAAATTCAAAAATAGAAAAAATTATTACAAAATGGTGCTTCAATTCATCCAGTTGGTGTAACAATTCTACACTTATAAGCACCTAATAAAATAGTTTAAAAATATGTGAAGCAAAAATTGATGAAGCTATAAAGACTGAAAAATCCATCAACTTACTCAAGTATTGATACTGATGAAAATATAATACAGACACAGAATTCTAAATTATACAAAAATCAAACTATATTGAATATAAAATCCCGAACCCCAAAATTAGAAAAATACAGTCCTATCAAGCACGTACATTAACAAAAATGAACCATATACTCGTTGATAAAGCACGTGTACTATTACCATAAAAGCTGCTAAAAAAAGACATCAAAAAGGGTGGGTTTAAACTAATAGAAAATAATCCTTTTACAAGTAACTATCCCAAGGTGAGTGATCAAAGCTGATGCACAACTGAGCATAATGGCTCAGGAGTCCTTCCCTTTTTTGTTCATCCATTTAGGACACTGTCTTGGCCTGCAGAGTCAAAGATGGGTTATAGGCACATTGTTGTTCCATACAAACTGAAGGAAAATGAGTTTAAAGTGGTTCTCTCCCAATGCTCCTTTAAGGACCAGATCATGTAAGTGGCACTGTATTAGTTAGTGTCAGATAATAAGCAACCACAAATCTCATTGTTGTAGAACAAAAGCATTTGTTTCACTCATGCATTGTGGGTCAGCTGAAGGCCAGATGATATGGAGTGGGCCCAATATGACAGCACTAATCCTTATGTCTTTTATTGGGCCAGAGGCTAGCTGAGACATTCTTCTCATGTCCATGACAAAGGCACAAGAGAGCAAACCCAAAAGCGCAAGCACATCTCCATCCTCAGTTGTATCAGATTTCTTAAGTTATCATTGGCCAAAATCAGTATCTGACAAAGGTCTACATCAATGATCAATGAAAATGAGGGAAATAAGTAAACATTTCTGAAAAATAGTTCCACAGGCATATACCAATTAAGTGCATATTCCACTGACAAAATTTTGTGCGATGGTCACATCTAGGTGTAAAGTAGGCTGAGAAATAAAGTGTCTAACTCTATGCTCAGCTATATCATGAAAACCATGGAATAAAATATATTTTTTGGTAGAGAACTAGCAATCTTTGCCATAGCAACTCCCAACATTTACAAGAATTGATTTCATATAGACCATGTGTCTATGACTTATTTTAAATAGAAATATACAATAACCAAAAAAAAAGATAATTCCAAACTCATGCATATGTAAAATTGAAAAATACCCTCTAAATAAACCATGGAACAAATAATAAGTCATAATAGAAATCTTAAAATACTATTGAACAAAATTTTTAAATGTAATATATGTAAGTAATGGAAGAAAAAAATAAACATAATAGAGGACCATAAAACTCATTAGCTGAATCTTCAAAAATGCCAATAAAGTTCATTTATATCCAGGAAGACAGATGAGAGATAGGGGAAGAGGGTATCAGGAGGGAACTGTAAGAAGGGAGGAAGAGAACTAGAGATCTCAAATAAAAAGAAAATATAAGTATGGATCCATTAGAGATTTAAAAGATAAAAATTATGGCAAAAACCTTTATGCTAGTAAATTTGAAAGAAAAAAATGGTTATATTTATGTAAATATATTACTTTATAACTTATCAAAATGGCTGCAAGAAGAAATAACTTCTATAGTTCTATTAAAAAACATGAATCCATAGTATAAAATCTTCCCATAAATACATACCAGTTCCTATCAGATTTAAGACTTCTATCATACATTTAAGGAACAGGTCTTCCAAAATATAAAAACTCTTTCAAAGAAGAGAGAAAGAAGGAATGTTCTCCAACTTGTTCAATGATACCAAAATTATAAAAAGACAGTTACTAAAAAGGGAAATTAAAGGCCAGTTTTCTTCATAAAATCATTGTAAGAAAAAACACTGAACTAGATCCAGTGGTATATAAATCAGATAACACTTGAATCAGTTAGGATTAGCCCAATAATGGAAGAGAATGTTTGCATTACAAAATCCATTGTCATTTACAATATTAAAATATTAATGGAGAAAATCTTCTCAGAAGCAGAAAATTCAATATTTACTCATGATAAAATAAAATCTTAACACTTAAACATAATAAAAGTTTACAATTCATTTATGAATCAAAAATTTAATGCTAACTCATGATAAAACACAAATAAACAAACTTAGCAAATGTGGAAATAAAGGGAACTTTTTAAATTTAAAAAATATCTACCAAAGACTTGAAACATCAGAAGCATTCTCTTTAAAATCAAGAACATGACAAAAATTTTTACTCTAACCACTTCCATTTAACCACTTTTTAGAGGTCCTTAACAATACACAAAGATAAAAATATACATAAAATATTAAAGGAAAATCACAATTATCATTGTTCATGGATAATATCATTTACAAAAAAAAAAAAAAATCCCAAAAGAACTTCAAACTATTGAATTAAAGAGTTTAGCAAGGTCAACTTAGAGTAACAAATTTCATATCTATACAGCAGCAGTAGAACACATTTTTTCATTTACGCATTCATTCATATAAAAACATTTATGGCATGATTACTATTTGCCAGTCACGTTTTAGGCACTGAGATAAATATCCCTGCTTTCACGGAGCTTACATTCTAGCGGGGAAGAGATACATTAAACAAGCTATTAAGTACGACACAGATGTGTAGAGAAAGATATGTAAGACATGTAAGGAGAAAAAGTAAAGCAAGAATGAGGCCGGGGAAAGGACAGGGAATGAGGGGAAGCATTAAAATTTAAACTGGGTGGCTATAAAATGTATCTCTAAAAGAAGATACTTGAATAAATCTTTATAGGAAGTGAGGGGATGAGTCAATAGGATCTGTGAGGGAAGACAACTCAGGAAACCACAAGTGCAAAAGCCTGCAGGCAGGGGCATGCCTAATGTGTTCTACAATAGGTAGGAAGCTACTGTGGCTGCAACAGAGTAAAAGATGGGAGAGCAGCAGGGGATAAGGTCAGAGAGGTAAAAATGGGCCAGATTACGTAGGGCTTCAGAGGCTATGACTTTACTTGGAAATTTGAGAAAGTCAGGAAGCCATTATGAAGTTTTCAACAGAGAAATGTTATGGACAGACTTATGGTTTAACAGAATTACTCTTGCTGCTGTGTTCAAAGGAGGCTGAAGGAAAACAAAGAAAAATCAAGAGATCATTAAGAGGCTATTGCAATAATACAAACTACAGATGATACAAAAAAAAAAAAAAAGAAACAGGGAGCAACAGTGGGAGTGGTAGGAAAAAATGAAAGTGTGGATATTTTTCAAAAATAGAACCAAAAGAATTTATCATATTTGTTATAAAATATTAAGAGCGAAATGACTCAAGGATAACTCTAGAGTTTTCTAAGTAAATGGGAATGTGGAGTTTCTATTAATTAAGATGGAGAAAACTGTAGAAGACAGAGCTTTAGTGGGGAATCACATATAATTGCAGGGGTCAATATGCAGTTAAATACATAAAACTAGAGTTCAGGAAAAAGAGATCTCAGTTGAAAGATGTAAATTAAGTAGTCGTTAACATATTAGAGGTAACTGAAGCCAGGAGACTAGAGAAGATCACCTGGGGAGTGATGACAGCAAAAAGAAGAGGTCCTAGAGTTGAGCTCCACATCTCAACATACAGAGGTTAGAGAGATGAGGAGCAAATAGCGAAAAAATAAAATAAAATAAAAAAGGGAAATGATGGCATTTACTGACAATAACAAGGCCTAGGAAATAACCAGAAAGTCAGTAGCTAGCTGAGAATGGATGGAGAACAGGATCACTAAAAATGAGGCCGTTGAGGAACCGAATGAAAGTCCAGCATGTTAGAAGGATCATCCATGTGAATATTTAAATAACAAAGAATTATGGCAGGACTCATTTTTAAGAAAGCGACAATGTTGCTGGGCTTAATTTTTTTTAATTTACTCAAAAAAAGACCTGAAAAGAAGTGCCTGTTAAAAAGTTATAGTGTGGGCTAATCTGATAATATGAGATTCAAGGCAGTATGTGTTCATGAAGAAGGGACTGAAAGCAGCAATGAGAAGTAAAGGGGACGTTTATCTCTCCTCCAGGTCCAGTGCTACAGTTGAGTCAGAAGGAGACAGAACAGTTACCCTGAAGAGTACTGTAGGATGTGGTGTGCTGGAGATCAGGAGGGCTGCCTGGCTGTCCTTCCCAACTGCATTTTTAGTGAAATAAAAAGGTAATTTGAATAGCCCTGATATATTTATAGCACATAAACTGGAAAACATGACAAATTACGGCTTCCCCCACTGCCAAAGAGCTTAGTGTTAAACATTTACCAGAAATACATCGGCTGCAGGAGGAACTAGAGGGAAAAGCTAGATTTCCATTAGCACAGAGGTGAAGAGAACATTCACAGAAGCTGAAAATATAAAGGATTTTGCTGATCAATGATCTTGCATTCCAGAGTGTACAGAAAAAAGTTTCAGGAGCCAGAAAAGGGTAAGGAGAGACTTGTCAGAAAAAGTGACATAAGGAGCCTTAGGGAAGATTATAGTTCTGGAATAAATGAAAGTCCTGGGCTCCTTATGAAGAGTCAAAAGAACATAGGTAAAAGTATGGATGCTGAAGAAAGAGAGGATTGGGGGAAGACAGGCCAGGAACATGTGTTAACTCAGAATCTCTCATTTGGCTCCTGCTGAGAGAGGCATGATGCTTTGTAGATGGGTGGCCTTATTCTTAGTGTTCGGGTGCTCTGCTGTCTCCCGCCAATGGTGTCCTGCAAAGGTTTGGTCTTATTCCAAGTTTGGAAGTTCCCTCTCAACTCCTGTTGATGGAGGCGTGGAGTTGGACAGAGGGTTGATCTTGCACTGACCTCAGAGGCTCCCTCTTGATTTCTGTTGAAGGAGGCCTCAAATCCGACAAAAGAACAAGTTATTTTCTTTAACTACTTGTCAATATCATTTACAATAGAGAAAATTATAATGTACTCAGAATTATACTGAATAAAAACATGTATAATAAGATCTGTGTGGGGAAAAGTATAAAAAAGTTATTGAAATACATTAAAGAAAATCTAAATATATGAGGAGAGAAACCATGTTCATTCATGCACTGAAACACTCAATATAAAGATGCCAGTTATCTCTACATTGATCTATAAAACTACAGTTATTCCAATAAAAATCTCCCAATTTTTTTTTAGAAATTTGTCAAGCCTATTTTAAAATTTATAGGAAATTACAGAATAGCTAAAACACTTCTGGAGAATAAGAATAAGGTTGAGAGAATTGCCCTAAGATAATATCCAAACTTATTAAAAACTATAATAATTTAAAAAGTATGGTACTGCCACAGGAATAAACAAACTCACTAATGGAACATAAAAGAAAGTCCAGAAGCAAACTCATGTATACATGGAAACTCATTAAATGACAGAGCCAGTACTATATACCATTGGGGATAAAAAGAACCATATAATGTATTGTGCTGGGACAAACAATTATCTGAAAAAAAACAAGTGAAATTAGATCCCTCCTACATTCCACATTAAAAAAAAGAATTATTCCAAGGTCATTAAATATTTAAAATTGGAAAGTGAAATTTTATGAAGATATGTCCAGCCTAGACAATATGTGTAGATCATCTTTTTCCCTGCTCTTCCCTGCTGAGTACTACTATAAACCCTGGAAATGATGCAAGACACAACCAAAGCAAAACTCTGAAAAGCGGAAATAGGAGGGTAAACTAGTTAGAGATGTCAGGATTGAAGAACAATATAGTGGCAGAATATCCAATGAAAGAGAGTGACTCAGGAATTAACTCCTAATCTAATAAAAAAAAAGTAATGAATTCTCTAACCATAATCAAATCAAACTAGAGATAAATAACAAAAAGACAACAGGACAATATCTTAAATGCGTGAAGATTAAACGACACATTTCTAAATAATTTATGGGTCAAAAGCAATCCTCAAAGGAAAAATATGTAGAAATGAATAAAAAATGAAAGTACAACACATTAAAATATATGGGATGCAGCTAAGGCAGTGCTAAAAGAAAAATGTATAGCACTATACACTTACATTTCAAAAGGGGAAATGTCTTGAATCACCAATTAAAGTTTCTACCCCGAGAAAACAGGGAGAAAAAAAAAAAACAAGAAACTCAAAGCTAGAAGAATAAATAAAATAATAAAGATCAAAGCAGAAATCAATGAAATTGAAAACAGAAAAGCAATCCATAAAACCATGAAACAAAAAGCTAATTCTTTTTTTTAAAAAATTCTGTAAAATTGATAAAACTCTATATAGCAAGACTGACAAAAATTAAAAAGGGAGAAGACACAAATGACTATCAAAAATGGAAAAGAGAATATCACTACAGATCCTGCAGTCATATCACTACAGATCCTGCAGTCATTAAAAGTATAATAGGGGAACATTATAAACAACTTTATGCTCATAATTTAACAATTTACAAAGGACCAAATTCTCAAAAAACACAACCTACTAAAACTCAATAAAATGAAATAATCTGAATAGTCCTTTTACCATTAACAAAATTAAATTTGTAATTAAAAAGCTCCCAAAAAAGATTTATCTGGGCCCAGTTGGTTTCATTGGAAAATTCTACCAAATACTTAAAAAAGAATTAGCAACTACTCAGCAATAATAAGAGAATGAACTGTTGATCCATGCAACATCTTAGATGAATCTTAAAGGAATTATGCCAGTGTAAAAGTCAACTCTCAAAAGTTAAATATCATGGTTTCCATTTAAATAATATTGAAATGACAACATTGTGGAGATGTAGAAAAGATCGGTGGTTGTCTAAAATTAGGAATTGGGGATATGGGGTGGGGCAAGTGGATATGACTATGAAAGGGTCCTTGTGGTGATGGAATGATTCCATACCTTAATTATGTCAATAGTGATATCTGGATTGTGATCTTGTACATTAGTTTGTCAAGATGTTACCACTGGAGGAAAGCAAATAAAGAGTACATAAGATCTCTCTGTATTATTTTTTACAACTGCACATGAATCTACAACTATCTTAAAATAAAAAGGTTCGTTTTAAGAAGATTAGAGACATTAGTGGAACACAGCAAAATTTACAAAAATTCTGTAGATTATAGTATTGTATAAATGTTAATCTCTCCATTTAAATAATTATATTGTGTTTATGTAAGAGAAAATGCAAAATGTTTATTCATTAAAAGAAAAATAAAAAATGTAAGTCATCATCTGGGACGAAATGCCTATATTCAAAAAATTAGTATCTAAAATGCACTGCGAATAAAAGATTAACAACATAATGGAAAAACAGGAAAAATGTATGAACTGACATTTCATAGACACTAACATACAAATTGCCTATAAACAAAGAACATATTCGATTTAATTATTAATCAGAAAAATGAAAATTAAGACTCAATAGGTAACATATTGTACTCATTAGCTTAGCAAAAATCAAAAACCCTGGTAATTCCAAGTATTGGGAAAAATGTAGAGTAATGGAAACTCTGTGTAGGTTTGTAAACATGTTTAACTAAGTTGGAAATAAATATGACACTATCTAGTAAAATTCTCATCCCCAGTGAACCAGCAGTTCCACGCCCAGATTAATATCCTACAGAAAATCGTGCATATGTGTACCTGGAAACATCCAAGAATATTCAAGGAAGCATTGGCTACCAGACCAAGACTTTGGAAACAACCTGAACGTATATTAATAAAAGAACAGAAAGGTAAATATTTTGAAATGGACTCTAGCCACATATAGCAAAATGGAATAATCTTAGAAACAAAACACCAAATGAAAAAAGCAAGCTGCAGAAGACTACATACATTGTGTATAACTTACATCTGTGTTATTTATATATAGTATACATTCAGTTTATATATTATGTCCAAATATACATATAATGCGCTTAAATTAAATACTACTTGAACATCTTTTTAAATTGTACATTTAATCCACAAATCTATAATGTTTCATAAAGTGTTATTCTGAAATACAGATAATGTAGATATTGATATTGAATGTTTTTAAAAATGCAAAATCCTGAGCATTTTTTACTGCAATTTCATTTCTATATTTTCTAAATGATCCATGCTTATGCATAATTCAGAATAAATAGTAGAGTTAAAAATCTGAGAATAATTAGTATTTCTGATTGTTTTCATTTCTATTCACATTTACTTATTTTTATGTGAGCAGAATATATTTAGTGTAACAATGTATTTCTATTTATTTAATTTTCTACTCTGAACAGAATTATAAACAAGTTGGCTTAATCCTTATGTATTTAACACGACAGAGTTTTATGAATAAATATTCTGATTAATATATTTCCTCAGGGATTTTTAATGAATTATTTCAACTGTTGAAGATATTCAACATTATTATCAAATTAAAGGCATTAAAATCCCCATTTGTACATGGTTATAAACTTTTAATACCTTCCACATTTCTAAACTCTAAAAAATGCAAAACTAATTTCTTTTTTAGCAACTTTTTGTCTAATAAATAGAATGATTTAACATCCTAATTTAATATTCACAATTACTGGCAAGATGTCAACTAGATCCTAGGTTGATGCCAAAATCACAGTGATACTTTAGGCAAAAAATATTAACTACACAGCAATATTTAAGAATACTATACAAAATATAACTAAACTCACTCTCATAAATGCAAGGAATCAGCATGTAAGAGCATTTAACTGCTCCTGAAGTATACCATTATCACAACCAGTGTGGCATAACACATGATGACAGGCACTGTTATAGCACAGCTGAGGGTACTCTCTGTTCGTAGTTTCATATCATTATATTTAAACTTTAACTTCATTATATTTAAACTTTCATATCATTATATTTAAATATAACGTTTATATTTAAACATTATATTTCATATCATTATATTTAAACATATCATTATATTTAAAGAGGGCAATCCCTCTTCTGGGTATCCTATCCAAAAAACTGAAAGCATTTATCCGTAAAAACATATGCACCTCAATGGTCAGTGCAGCATTATTCGCAGTGGCCAAGACATGGAAACAACCGAAATGCCTTTCAATAGATGACTGGGTAAAGATATGGCACATATATATATAACAGAGTACTACTCAGTCATAAGACAAGATGAAATATTGACATTTTTGGCAGCACGGATGGATTTTGAGATTATCATGCTAAGCAAAATAAGTAGACAGAAAAAACTGAGAACTATATGATTTCACATATGTGAGATATAAAACTGAAAGCAACAAATGAACAAGACAAACAAATGAAAACTCTTAGACAGAGACAACAGTTTAGTGGTTACCATAGGGAAAGGGGGGAAAGAGGGGAGAGGAGAAGGTAAAGGAGGTCGAATACATGGTCACAGAAGGGGATATGACATTGGGTGGTAAACACAATGCAATATACATATGATGTATTATTGTACACTTGAAATATATAAAAAAATAAAATAATCTGTAATCGATTTCATATAATCACTGGCAGATGTCATGACAAAGATATTAAATAAGATTCCTTTTTTCATTCAGTGAATCAAAATATAGAAGAGCCCCTAAAGAAGTTGAGAGTTGTACACAATTTTTATGAAGATAAGAATATCAGAATTAACCACCATAATGCTCTAATTTCCATATCTCTGTTTATATAATCTTAATTAGGGAAACCATACCCACAATCATAGAAATCCATTGCCTAATCATTCAAGCCACTGTATAATAAAATGACAAAAAGAATGATTAAAAGAATTGAATCTAGAAGTCTTTAATAGACTTTGATTCGGTGTTATTTGTATCATATTTCACACAAAAGAATGAAATAATATTAACAATTAAGTATTATTTATCTTCTGGTAAATAACCTTTCCAAAGAAACACTCATTTCAAAAGCATCAATTCTAAATAGGCACTATGTTAGATATATTATATATATTATTTAATTGAATCATGACAAAAACCCTTTGATGCACATATTATTGTTCTCAGTTTATAGAGATGGAAACATAGAAGTAATCTGCCCAGGTTTGTACAAAAATAATAAGCAGTAGACTTGTATTTCAAATACAGATTAGGCTTCAAAATAATTCATACTGTAAAACAGCTTCTGCCATGCTACAGTATGTTACGGTATGCTAATAGATGCCACATGCTATAGTACGTTAAAAGATGTTATGCTGAAGAAAAAAGAATTGTTATACTTAATTTATGCAAGGACAAGTTATGAAAGTTCTAATTAAAATTACAATATAATATCCTTTTGCTCACTTAACAAAAGACATATATATATAATTTCTAAAGACCTAAAAGAAGATAAATGGGAAAATATATAAAAACTCATTTAGAGCTTACAAGAAAGCACTTATTTTCACAGCTATATTGGTAGCATATGCTAAGCTTTGAAAAGTCTTTCTTGTATAACATTATTATTAACATGAATGTATTATTAATAAACATAAAATTAAATGATTAAAAATAATGTAACAAATTATTAATTGTAATGAAAGCTATTTTAAGGGAAACATCTAAATTTTAGCTAAAGTTTTTTTTCTTAAAATAAGCTCTGAATAATTGTTGCTAAATCAGTTGTTGCCTGGGTAAATAATCTAGAAATTTTAATATGTATAGGCTTTTTATATGTTCCTTTAGTAAGATTTAAAAATTTTATTTAAGTATGAAAATAATATGAATATTTCCCAACATATAACAGGTATCTGTTTCTTTTATCCTTTAACAACATTTGAATAAGTTATGAACTTTTTTGAAAATTTTATTGTATATACTGTAGTGTTTATATAGCCTTCCTAACATGTCCCCTGTTGCTACTATTTGAGGAAAGAAATATGTGTCTTCTTGATAATATCTTTACAACACTTTAATACATGATTTCCACAGAAACATAAATCTGTTTACATATGGAAGCATAATACTCTACATAGGATTTTTTTCATTTAAAGGAGCATGTCTATACTCCCACTCAAAAGAGATCAAGAATTAAATCAGGCAGTAAAAAGATGGAAGGAACAAGACAGCAATTTCTTTTCTTTCTTAATTTCCTCCCCACTTTCTTAAAATACTTTCAATGGTGATGGTTTTACAATTTTCCTTCACAATCTATGAGTACATAGGACAGGGCACAAGTGAGTGGTAGATTTTTAAATATAACACTTGGAAAAAAATTGTGATAGCAAACTCTAAATTTAATTCTTCAAGGAGTCATTAAAGCAACAGATTTGAACTACAGTGGATGCTGTATTTTTTTTCCTGTCTACAATGAAAATAAATTCTACACATATATATTACCTTTTTAAAACTATTCAAATCTATATGAAATTCTTCCATTCTGCTTCTCTTTAATATATTGGCACAATGAAAGTTTCATATGTATGATCACCAAAGTCTCAATAAAGTAATTTCCTTCTCCTAACTGTGACTGATGTGATTATAAAATGTATGTAGTTAATTGTGTAACAGCTCTTAGTTCCCTTAGAGTAAAACATATTTCAGAGGTGGAAGGAAATTACGCTATAATATGTAGTTATTTTCTTTACAAAAACTAATGCATTGACTATTTTAGTAACCAACTAAGCTTAAAGAAAGATGAAAACTGCTTTCCCAGTGTTCACAAATTATTTCCTCAATTCAAGAAGAAAACAATTTAAAACCTAAGAATTAACTTTAAAGTATAATCTCATATTAAACCAACCTTACAGAAATATATAGAGAAATTAATATGGCATATCAAGAAGCCAGAGGTCTAACTGGCTTGAGAAGGAATGCTATACAATTGTCTAAAAAAGTCTAGTTTATACAGGCATGTTCCAGGATGAAATATTCAATGCCACACAGAGTGAACTATTGAATGACAGTCTAGGAGGATGCTAAGGTAGTCCATAAAGACCAGTTTAGAAAGGCACCCAGAATCTCCATCATATCCCCCATCTACAACCAAAATTAACATTTAACTTAAGTAAATTTGTTCTGCAAATGAAACTTCAAAATGAGTTCCTTGTGCTCTTAGAAAGCAGAAAACTGAGCATCACTTTTTGAAAAGATAAACAAAATTGACAAACCTTTAGCTAGAAAAAGAAAAAAAGAGAAGACTCAAATAAATACAATCAAAAATTAAAGATTAATTACAACCAAGAACACAGAAATATATAGGATCATAAGAGATTACTATGAACAAATATATACCAACAAATTGGATGATCTAGAAGAAATGAATAAATTCCAAGAAATATACAACCTACCAAGACTGAATCATAAACAACAACAACAATAACAACAAAACAGAAAATCTGAATAGACAAATACAAGTAAGGAGAATGAATCAGTAATCGAAAACCTCTCAATACAGAAAAGTCCAGAACCAAAAGGTTTCTCTGGTGAATTCTACCAAACATTTAAATAATTAATGCCAATCCTTCTCAAACTCTTCCAAATAATCAGAGGATGGAACACTCTCAAATACATTTTACAGGCCCAGCATTACCCTAATACCAAAACCAGAACAGGACACTACAAGAAAACTGTAGGCCAATATCTCTGATGAATACAGATGCAAAAATTCTCAGTGAAATATTAGCAAACTGAATTAAACAATACACTAAAAGGATCATACACCATGATCAAGTAGGATTTATCCCTGGGATGTAAGGATGGTTCAACATAAGGAAATCAATAAATGCGATATCACAGTAATAAAATGAAAGATAAAAAGCATATGATTAGTCTACAGCCATGCCGCCCTGAATACACCCAATCCCATTTGATCTTGGAAGCTAAGCAGGGTCGGGCCTGGTTAGTACTTAAATGGGAGACCACCTAGGAAGATGAAGTGCTGTAGGCATTAAAAAAAAAAAAAAAATCATATGATCATCTCAATAGAGGCAAGAAAAAAACTGACAAAGTTCTATATCCTTTCATGATAAAAATCTTCCACAAATTGTGTATATAAGAAATATACCTCAACATAATAAAGGCCATATATAAGAAATGCAATGCTAACATCATACTAAACAGTGAAAGGTTGAAAGTTTTTCCTCTAAGATCAGGAAGAAGAAAAAGGTGCCCAGTCTCATCACTCTTATGCAACATGGTACTGGAAGTCCTATTAGAGCAATCAGGCAAGATAAATGAAAGGCAACCAAACCAGAAAGAAAGAGGAAAAACTGTCTTTACTTGCATTTAATTAAAAATCCTAAAGGTTCAACAAAAAAACTGTTAGAACTATTCAACAAATTAAGTTATAGGATAAAAAATCAACATACAGAAATCTATTGTGTTTCTGTACACTAATAATGAAATATCCGAAAAATAAAGAAAGCAATCTCATTCACGATAGCATCAAAAACAATAAAATACTTAGAAATTTAACCAAGAAGATAATGAGCTGTATAATAAAAACTATGACATTGATGAAAGAAATTGAAAACGAAAATGGAAAGATATCCTATATTCACGGACCAGATTAATATTGTTAAAATGTCCATACTGTCAAAAGCCATCTGTGGAGGAGATACTATTCCATGACATAACCACTGCCTGACCACTGCTGGCCCCACCACCTAGACCCTGGCCAGAACAGAAACTACTTTCTGAAAATCCCCTCAAAGACTGTCCAATCAACCACTTCCTTATTTCCCACAGCATGGTTTTTGCTGTTTCCTAGAACAGACTGTTGCCCTAACCTGGTTACAAACATGTAAGGCATTTTACACTAATCTGGCACAGATCATGCTCCAGTATCCCTTCCATCCTGCCTTGTCCTATGTATATGTAACCCCTTTGCACATGACATGCAGCACAGACGATATCCATGCCTTCTCGCTGCTGCTGGGGATGGGCCCCATATGTAAGTTCCCTTAATAAACACTTAATGTTTATTACTCTTAATGGAGGTTGGGGCTCTTTTCTACAGTCTCTTGGCCCTATGAACCCTTACATAACACCATATATAGATTCAGTGCAATCCTTATCAAAATTCCAAAGGCATTTTTCACAGAGAAGGAAAAAAAATCTAAAATTTATATAGAACCACGAAAGAACTCAAATAGCTAAAGCAATCCTAAGAAAGAAGAACAAGGCTGGGGACATCACATTTCTGATTTAAAACTATACTACAAAGCTAAATCAAAATGGTATGGCATCAACATAAAAACAGACACATAGACAAATGGAATAGAATAGGGAGCCCAGAAATAACCTCCTGCACATAAAGTCAACAGATATTTCACAAAAGAGCCAAGAATACTCAATGGTTCAATAAATGGTTTTGAGAAAACTGGATTACCACACACAAAAAAATAAAATTGGACCCCTATCTTATACCACCCACAAAAATGAACTCAAAATGGATTAAAACTTAAACAAAAGGCCTAAAACTACCAAACTCTTAGAAAAAAACATAGAGAAAAAGCTGCATGATATTGGTCTTATCAATGAGTTTTTTTATATGACACCAAAAGCACAAGCAACAAAAGAAAAATACAAGTGGGACTACATCGAACTAAAAATCTGCACAACAAAAAAAAAATCAAGAAAATGAAAGGCAACCTATAAAATGAGAGAAAATATTTGCAATCCACATATCTAATAAAGGGTAAATATCTAAATATATATTTAAAAACTCATATAATAACAAAAAAAAATCTAAAATATATAAAGAAGAACTGAGTAGACATTTGTCCAAAAAAGACTACCAATAACCAACAGGTATGTGAAAAAATGTTAAACGTGGATAAGCATCAGGGGAATGCAAATCAAAACTACAATGAGATATCACTTGACACTAAGACAAGAGATAACAAGTATTGGCAAGGATGGGGAGAAAAGAGAACCTTTGTCCACTGTTGGTAGGAATGTAAATTTGTGCAGACACTATGGAAAACAGCATGGAGGTCTCTCAGAAACTTAAAAATAGGGCTGCTATATGATCCAACAATCCCACTTTTAGATATATTTCCAAAGGTAATGAAAACTGGATCTCAAAGAGATAGCTGCACTCATGTTCACCAAAGCATTATTCACAGTATCCAAGATATGCAAACAACCTACGTGTCTGTCAGTGGATGAATGCATAAACAAGATATGGCGCACACGTGCACACACACACACTCATAGAGACACACACAATGGAATGGGATATTATTCAGGCATGAGAAAAAATATTCTACTGTTTGTGACAATACAGATGGGCTTTTAGGGTATTATGCTAAATGAAGTCAAGTCAGGAAGAGAAAGACAGATACCGTATGATACCATTTACATGTGGAATCTAAAAAAACAAACTTATAGAAACAGATGGAAAAATCGTGGTTACCAGCGGCAGTAGGGTTGGGGAATTGAGGAGATGTTGGTCAAAGAGTACAAACTTGCAGGAAAATAAAAAAATTAAAAGAAGAAATATTAGTAAAAATGGTTAGTCAGTGAATGAAGGGAGAAAGAATTCACTTTATTCTTCACTTTAGCTCTTTTGTAAGGCCTACATTTTTCTATGATGTAGGTGTTATATTTAACATTTTAATGCAAAACCAAAAAAGAACATACTATGAATAATTATGTAAGGTATTTTTCCTATATTTTAGTAGCTTTTTGCCACCTAAGAAGCCAACATTGCTTTACTAATATAAAGTCTTACAAGTCATAAGCACTTAGTAAATGAATGAAGAAACCATTTCTAAGTATGACTTACTACCTGAAAGAGAATGCCTATGTCATTGGAAGATGAAAACGTTCCTAATGACAATCACTATCATCACACCCAAAATCCTTCACTCTTATTATTTTTTATTGTTCTGAGTGCTTTATTTGCTCAATGAACTAATAACCTCTGTGGATATAAGCAAAGATTATTCAAATTAGAACAAGCACAATTTACTGACAGCAACAGTCATCCACCACCACTGCCTGAATTTGGCTGAGACTCAAATTAAAGGCAGCTGGAGGAGTGGAAAAGCTTTATGGTGGCAAAAAGCGAAGATCTGTCCTGACAGGAGGTTGTTGGCATGAAGAGAAGCTGGAGACAGGCTGACTAGAAAAGGGGATCTATCATAAATACCATAAATCCATAAATTAACAATGATAATAGAGGAACTGTAAAGTACTAATCTGAATATCACCAAAAAAGTGATTATCAAAGCCTTAGTATATAACCTAAGTGTTTAGTATGTATTTTATTTGAATATTATATACAATACTAAACTCCAGTGCATATCTTTGAGAAGAAATTATGTTATTAACATTTGCTAAGTAAATGACTTTTAATAATATTTGAATTCATAAAAATCTTGTTCTTATAGAATTACTACTACTAAAAAGCTATTATAATTGTAAATGTGTTCATTTTTAAATAAATGCCAGATATTTTGGAACTCAAACAACCACTTCATGAAAAAATTCATTACCTCAACTAGACTTTTATGCAATTTTCATAAGAAGAAGCTAAAACTCCTCGCAGGTTTTATGTAATTTTCCTCATTTTTGAACTCTTTGTCTCACCAGACATTTTTAATATCATTTTTTCTTTAATCATTACCAAAGATTTTAACTATCAGTCTGATTGCAAAGGGACTCAGATATAAGGAGATTCTTAAATGGGACATAATTCTTTCCATTCTACTTTTGAAGAAGACTAAGAAAAGTGTGAAGTTACCCTAAGAGATAGGAAATAAGGGATAACCTGGGAGTTAGTTACTTCTTTTAGACAGAGGTAATTTTTGGCAGAAATGTGAGCAGGTGAGCAGACATGGCCACGATTAAGTTGAGATATATGGCAGAGTTATCCATTGGCAGACCTGTTTCTGCCACTAAATAGTTTGCATCCCTCAATTAATTAGTTACATAACATTTAAGGACATCCATCTGCCATCTATAAACCAAGGGGCTCAGTGTACATAACTTCTAAATTCCTTTTCCAGTAAAATAATTATACCCTATGAGTCCAAGGATCTGAAGATCTGAGAGTTAATTATGAATTAACGGAAACAAAAATAAATACCATACCTTTGTATTATTTTTTATCTTTGTTTTACATTTGTTTTGTTCCTTGGCTTCATGAAGACCTTTCTGAGCAGGACCTTCTGGTGTGTTTTCCTTTTCACAACCTGGAACAACTACAAGATAATAACATTTATTCTTAATATTTATACTGCTTCTCTGTAAGAAATATAACCAAAAATATGAAAGCCAAAGTCATGATACCTTTATTTTTAAACTAATAACAGTAACATCATACCAAAACATTGTAAGTGAAGTTTCAGATTCATTTTCCAAAAATGCAGGACGGCATTACTGCAAGGTTAGTGAAATGGCGTGACGAGCCAGTTAGAAAGCACGGAAGCCAATCTCCACTTACACTGTATCCATATTCCTGTTAGTGTGAGGTTTAGTGTTTATAAACAAAGGTGAAGAGGAGAGAATGGTAAGCAATAACAAAATTTCCCAAGTGGAACTGGATAATAAGAGATTTTTAAAAGAATATTATATTAATAAAATATTATTCTGTTTCTCAATGTTGAGAAAAACAAAAAACACAGAGTAATATTCCAATATAGTTGTAACACTGGTCTCCAAACTCTCCTGGATGTAAAGAGCAGTTCTAATGCAATCATCTGAGGGAAAACTAAAAGTGATAGAAAAAACCTTTTTCCCATCTTTCCATATACATATACATGTTTAAATATATATAATTTCCCCTGTATTTCTAAATAGCAAGCTGATTTCAAATAACTAATAAAGTTATAATCATTAACTCATAAGCTAAATAGCACAACATTTTAAATAATAAATCTAGATCTGCAATAGAGAAAAGATGATGGACACAAAAATATCGAGTTGGTTTCAATATCAAGGCTCTCAAAGAATCCTGAGGTTATTAAGGTGAGGAGACACATGGCTGGCATTTAGTTTCGTTACTGATCCAATTAATTTTTCCTATTTGTTACCTATTCCGGACAAAAGAGAAAATCCTCAACATAACCCTCACAATAACATAAAAACAGAATGTTGCGTAACTTAGTTCTCATGGAAATACTTGAAAGATTTCAAACACCTGGATTTTCAGACTGCCTGTCTTCCCTCAATGGTGCTATAAGTTAGAGCCCCACTGCATCTGGGAAGTCAAACTGTGGGGGAAAGGCAACAATCAGTTAGCTTAAGGAAAATGTTTCACTTCAAATCTCTTATTGTATTTCCTCTTCAACGACCAAGGGTGACAAACTAATAATGATAATAATTTAAAATAATAATAATTAGCATTTATGCCTCATTGATCTTTTACACTATAACAGACACCAGTATAAACAACTGACACTTACTATTTTATAAAATCCTGTCAATAATCCTGTGAAGGTCACTACCTTTTGTTCCCTTTTATATATGAGGGGAATCTGTACAGTAATATCTACAAGGAAGAAAGTAGAAACTCAGGATTCCAGTAGATAGTTTTAGGAATACGAGCAGATCTCAGGTATTATGCAAAACATTACTAAGCAAGAATTCATAAGAGAAGTAAAATAAAAAGCACGAAAAAAATGGTATGGATAAAAAATGAAAGTTGAAAACCAAAAAAGATTTGATTTATGACATATAGTTGTTCCATAAGCAAAATGAAATTATAATAGTTCACACTTTAATAATATTTTAGGAAAAAATAAAACATTTGGAACTAAAACACGAGACTAAACATTGCAGAATGTATGTGGAATTAGCAGAGAAATAACACTTCTTAATTATTTCTCAATGTAGGAAGAACAACTAAACCTGATTTATGCTCTCCATCAGACAAACATCAGTTACTTATACAAAGATTTATAGAACAAATGAGAGGCTCAAACATTAAAGTCTGTGTTACATTCATGGTTAAGTGCATATAAATCTCAAATTCCATATAACACTTCTTAATGTTTAGTAATATACTAGCAAAGTCCTTGTCTCTATCACAGCATCCTCACGCTTATCATCTCATGCATGTCAATAATGACAAGGTCTATAGTACTAACTGTCACTATGCAGTTTTCCAATGTTACTTGGGCACAATCAACATCTTAAGGAAGATACAATAGAGAAATAAAGCAAACATCAAATAAACAAACAAACAAAAACACATTTTCACTTACAAAAACTGTATTTATTGTACCTCCAGTGCTAAATTTCACTCATTCAACCATTCCTTCATGTATGCACACATTCAACCAATGTTAACTAAACATGTTCAGGCCCCTGGTTAAATGTCAGAAATGCATGAATATGTTCAATTAACAAATACATAGTTAAGTACCTACATTGTGCCAGTCCCAAACTTCCTTGTAAACAGCTGAAAAGAGAATTATTTTATGGGGGAAAAAGAGGTTTTGAAGAAATTATCCAATATTTAGACCAGAGACATAAACAGAAAATATCTAAGAGATTAGGACACTTGTAAGCTAAAATGAGATCAAGCACATATCTAACTGGAATTCAGAAAAAGGTAACAGAAGCAAAGGCGAAGATGTTATTTTTGAAATGATAGGATCTCTTTCTAAACTAGACCATATACCAGAGGGTAGGGGGGAAGAGGGAGGAAGACGGGTAAAAGGGGTCAAATATGTGATGACTGAAAGAAATCTAACTATGGGAAGTGAACACACAATGTAAATATATATATGCCTTACTGTTAAAATGTATAGCTAAAACTTATCAGATTTTGTTAACCATAAAAAATAAATAAAAATAATAAAACAGTAAAAAAAAAAAAAGCAAATGGATTAGCAGTAATTGATTTAGCAGAATGAAGAAAAGTAAAACCTTAGAAGAAGGGAAAGGAAAGAAGCAAGTTGCTTCACACTACACAACTGCAGAAAGACTGGAATTAGAGGTGCCAGGTAGCCCTAAAATGAGTGTATAGGTGAGGTTCAAATAAGATTAGTTGAAAGTCTATGAATAAATAAATAAAAGGCAATTATTAACTTCAGGAAAAGAGCAAGTTATACCAGGAATATAATACTCATGGCTTAGCTGTCCATATTTACATGGACATAATAATGCAAACATAGAATATTAACCTAGCAGTTATGTGCATAGTCAAAAGGAGAGCAGCTTGAAAGATCTGAATATTCATCTTCCATAGTAGAAAGTCAAGATACAACATCCAAGACTGAAAATTGAAAATTAGTTGTATAAACATTTTTGGGGGGAGAGGAAGAAATATATAGTTAAATACTAAAAGAAATATCTAAAAAAGTTTAAATAGCTGCTCCTGGGGAGTGCAAAAAATTGGATACATACGTAGGAAGAAGAGACTCTTGTTTTCATAGTACACCTTGTAGAATTCTAACTTTTCCTACTCTGATATATTTGACTTAGATAAGAAGTTATATTGTAAAAGGAAAGACAATATCGACACTCATCACATGGTTTATTTTGAGAATTGAGAATAAAGTACGAAATTCTAATACCAGAAAAAAAATTAAATAAAAAATAAAATAAACTAGACCATATATTCCATACAGTCATACAAAACTAGCATCTAGTAATGCAATTTTGAACAGCAACAAAATGCCCAACATAAAAGCATAAATTAATTAAACTAAAAAACTTAAAAAATAATTTGTTTACTACATATGATATCTATTTCTTCTGTGAAGCTCTAAAGTGAGCTTTCAGTTTTTCACCTCATCAAACATTTCCAATTTCTAGCTGTTCATCTTGAATTCATAATTTCCTATTATAAATTACAAGCTGTATTAAAATATAATTGTATGTATCTTTATAACCTGCTTTGGAAATAGACACTACTACATTCAATTGTAACCTTATAATAAACCAAAGTAATACAATTTAATGACTAACAAACATAAAATCAAAACCAGCATGTTCACAAACTTTTTGAAATAATTTTAAGTAATTTGCACAAAAAGTTTTATCTCATAATATGTAATACTAAAGTGTTTTCTGTGTAGTTTCTTATAAATATTTGAAACATATTACTTTTCATAGCAAGAAAAACATAATACAAAACTGTCACTTCAAATATCTAGTCAATAATAATTCATCATTTCATAGTTTCTCTTAGGAATTTGTCTATTATTCTACACACCATACAAGAATAAATGTACAATTTAAAAACATTTTCAGTTGAGAAAGTTGAGTTCTAAAGTATTAATAATAGTCTCTCTGGGTGGCAGCAACTATGGTTAACATTTTAAATATATTTTGTAATTTTAAAATTAGCATGCCACTTTATTTCAAAAATGTAATGTTTAAAATTCTTTGATAACTCTACTCCAATTGAGTCCAACTTTTGTCTTGTTCCCTAAGAATGAATTAAATATTAATTAGTCTTTTTCCCAAAGTTCAGAGTAAATGACAATCAATTCATTGTTCCTTAATTATACAATGAATAAGATTTTAATCTGAAGAATCTCTACTGCCAAACCAATCTCTGCCCAAAATAAATGAATGGATGAATATATGGATGACAGAAAGAGAGACAGTTAAAAAAAAAATTTAAATTAAACTAAAACAAGCACTTGAAGAGGGAGAATATTAAATATATGAAAATTATTGTTACGGACAACAAGCTTTATGAAGAACAACCACTTAACCAATAAAGTCGACTTCTTTTTAAGTTACAGTCTCAGCTAAGTAAAGTTCCAAGTTGATCAGGCAATCAGAGGGATGACAGATGCTGAGATCACACAGCCAAATGCTGACACCAGAAGCTTAGGAAAAGACACTGCAAGTCTCATATCTAAATCTAGAGTGCATGTCTACGAGCAGCACAATACTTACTCAGCACAGAATTTAAGAAATTAGTTTTATTCAGGTAACTAGGATTAATCAGCTAAAAGAACTTATTTCTTCATGTTGAATGGGAATGTATTCTTTTTGAACAAAAGCACTTCAAAATATCACAGATCAAAATATAAGTACAAACTTCATCTTCAAAGTAATTTATAAATGTCAGTCTAGAAAAACATGTGTTCATTTTGTAATTATATTACATACCAGGAGATGATTTCATAAAGGAGTAATCTATAAACCATCAGTTTATTTTAATAGAGATGTCAAGGATAAACACATAAAATTGTAAATTACTAGGGTAGAATGTAGCATTAGAGGTTTACTAATGAAAGCATCAACCCAATGCACAAAGTTTCTCAACCTTTAAGCCTTTTCTATATTCTTTTTCACAATCTTTGGTCATTTGGGGAGCTAGAGTTTCTAAGATTATGATAGTTTCATACCATCCTTTTATATTTATATCTGATTATATTCTTAAAAGTTATCTACATATAAAACAAATAATTTTTTGATATAAACATACATATTTGAATGTATTAAGCAAAAAATGTAGAAAACTATGTAAACATTTTGTTGTGCATTCTCCAATCATTTAACAAACACACCCTCATACTACATGTTTTTATTTATTAACAATATATTAACATTATAACATGAGCACTTTCTTATGTATGATTTTTAAAGACTTTCTAGTATTGTATGGTCAACTATATTTAAACATTCACTTGAAAACCACATATCACTTTTATGTGGGATATAAACCTAAAAGCAACACACAGGACAAACAGAGATTCATGAATATGGACAACAGACTAATGGTTACCAGAGGGTGGGAGGTAGGGGGAGGAGGGAGGTAGGTGGGGTAAAAAGGGTTAAATACGTGGTGAAAGAAAGAAATCTAACTGTGGGCAGTTAACACATAATGCAAAACATATGCCTTACTGTTGAATTGTACACTTAAAACTTACTAGATTTTGTTAACTGTAATAAAAATAAATAAAATAACATTTTATTACACACACAAAAAAAGACTACTTGCATTGTTTTGTCACTATAGATAGGACTGCATTGAACATCCCTGTGTACAATCTCTTTAGGCATCACTGAGTATAACTGATAGTTCTTTAACATAAAAATGTTAAAAAAGGAAATACTGAATCAAGGCTAAGAAAAACTTTTTAAACATAAGAATGCTACATATTTCTTCTAAACCTTAATTAGAGAACACAATGAATAGTCATCTGCAAATAACAGGATATTATGCTTATTAAGAAAATTCACCATTTTTCAGTCTTTCTATATTTTAGAGTTTCCCATCATTCTTTTTTAAATCAACTTTATTGAGGTATTATTTACATACAATAAAATGCATACATTTTAAGTACAGAGTTGCGGAAGTTTTGACAAAGCTAAATAGGCATATAACCACCATCAAAATCAAGATACAAAACATCTGCACCACCCCATAATTATTTTCTTATCTTTTACATACCTTATAAACTTTACCTAATTTTTATCGGTCACTTTCTTTTAAGAAAATTAAGAAGAGAAAAACTCGCTCTTTAAATTAACTGGAATTCAACATTTCTAAATCTCTATATTCAATTCTGTAGATTTGAGTTTCCTTCTGGCATACTTCTTTCAGCCCAAAGAAAATCCTTTAGTATTTTCTTGTACTTCAAAATAGCTTGCAACAAAAGCTCTCAGCTTTCATTTACATTAAAATGTCTACATTTCACCCTAATTTTTGAAGGATATTCTTACTGTACGTAAAATTCTGAGTTAAAATTTTCCCACATTTTAAAAATTTCATTGTTTCCAGCTTTCATTGTTTCTGATGTGAAACCAGCCTTTATTGGTATTATTGTTCCCCTGTATGTTTTTGCTCTCTTGGCTGCTTTCGAAATTTTCTCACTTAAATTTTCAACAGTTTGAATATAATGCATCTAGCCATGACTTTCTTTGTGTTCACAGTTAGTTGCCTTTTTTTGGATGTATAAGTTGACGTTTTACATCAATTTTGGAAAATTTTAGGTCATCTTTCATTTAAATATTTTTATGCCCTGTTCTCATTCTTTTCTCCTTGGGGACTCTAATTACATGTATATTAAGTCGGCAAATTTTCCTTCAGTATTTTTTCTATATATTCTTCATAATAGATTATTTTTATTGACTCTTAAAATTTACTGATATTTCTGTCATCTCCAATCTGTTGTGAAATATGAAATTTTCATTTTAGTTAGTTTTCAGTACTAGAATTTCTATTTCCTTTATTTTTTTGTTTCCATTTATGTGCCAAGATTTCCTGTCTCTTCAATGATCGATGTCATATTTTCTTCTAAGTCTTTGGTCATACTGCAAATAGCTTGTTTAACATTTTTATATGCTACATCCAGCCTGGACCTTATCAGTGTAGTCTTCTATTGATCGCTTTTTGTCTTATTGTAGATCATTTTTTCCTGTTTCTATAACGTTTTTAGAAAAATTTTAATTATATAGATGACAGATTATAAAGACTCTGGACAACTGTCTTCCTCTGAAAGGTATAGATTTTTGTTCTGGCAGGCAGTTTAATTTTTTGATGATCAACTTGAATTTTGAGGTTTAATTATATGTTTTGTTAGGGTGGATCCATGGAAAGCCATAAATATTTCTCAAGGTTCTCTAACTTGACAAAATCTAAACCCTCTTTCCTCTAGGAATTCTCTGTAAGCTTTGTTTTTGGTTTTATTTGATGAATACAGGATTATGAATGTTAATATGGCGTTACCAAAGTGTTAAAGAGGACTCTTCATCCAGGTGTGGCTAGAGCTCCAACGTCTCCCATAACTGCTTTGTCTCTATATTCCCTGGTCTCATCTTAGTCCTGTAGAATCTACTCTCCCTCCCTCTGTGATAAGTCTCAGTCTTGCATGTGTAAGCCAGCTGACTCACAGTAAACTGCCTCACAAACTGGGCCACTGCTCACTGTAGCATCCTCTTACCTGGTGCCCTTTCCTACAGATTCTAGCTGCTTCAACAACTTGCCCCTTCAGTTCATGCAGGACTGCCATGCTCCTCTTGGTCTCCATCTCCATAGAGAATATGGAGAATTCCCCAGGCACAAAGCCATGGTGCTCGACTTATAAATTTTCCTTCTGTCACTTTCCTTCTGTAACTTGTGCTGTTTTCCAATGTCTAAAAGTAGTTGCCTCATATATATAGTTAGTTTTAGAGTTATTTATGGGGAGAAGGTTAGTCTGCTACCAGGTACTCACATCATAGCCAGAAGCAGAAATCCTCCTATTATGGTTTACTCATATTTTTCTCTAAAATTAATCTATACAGCATCATATCTATATTTCCTCTTAGTCTTTTCACTAACATCTTAACTTATGAAATAGTTATAACACCATTTATTCGCTTTTAAATATCTCTACAATTTTGAGCTCTTATAAGGTTGAGAAATCACGAACCAATATTAGAGTTTTACCACATTTTACTTTTACCTCTAATTTCAGGAGAATGGTAACTTTGCTGTGGTTCCATATGCCTTGCAGTTGCTGAATGTCTAGAAATCTAAAAAATAAAGTCCAAAAGTTATAGGGTTATATATTAAATGACTCAAAAAAGGTTTAAAAATATAATGTTTAAATATTGATTACAAAATATAAAAAATATTCATCTGTATTAGATTAATTCTTATGTATCTAAAAATTTTAAACATGAATGGCAACAAAAGAAAAACATACGTTTAAATGTAAATTCAATTCCACAAACCAATTATTAAGCATCCATTATGGGTAAGCATCTGAAACATTTATTTTACAGCATAGTTTCTGGACTCAATGCTCATTGCACGCTTTGAATAATAATTATTCATATCTCCATTTCGAGAGAGATTTCTCTTCTATTGATATTGTTTCACAACAACTTAATTCATCTTTACGTCCATAAAAGATGAGGTATTAGTTGGGAAGTAAAAAATGAAAAAACTGTTGTTTTTCCTAAAACTCTTGGCTCATTTCCCACCCACAGACATTCCTTGTTTTATTAAACATAACTTATAATTAAGAACATTTATTAGTTCAATGGCATACCATTCACCTATATTTCCTAAACAATAGACTTAAACTAAAATTCCTACCTTAAAAAGATATCTCATCTCTCATTGTAGATGATTATTCCAATGCAAAATACCATCTGTTTAATTATATACAGATATATACATTTTTCTACTTTCACTGAGTAGTAACATTTCTTATTATTAGAAAACAATAGATAATAAATTATAACCTATAGATTAGTGCTCATGAAATGTCTGAGTAAAAAAAAAGTAAAAAATTTATATCTATTCTAGAATGCCAAGCAAATTATAAAATTTTTAAATGCTCCTCTTATTTAAAATAGTGTGAAATTTACATAAAATTTGCAAATATAGTACCTTTACACCCTGCACTCTATTCTCCGTTAATATCATGCATTACCATGGCATATCTGTCACAAAATATGTACAGATATTGATACAACATTATTAACAAAGTCCCTATTTTATTCTAATTTCATTAATGTTTTCCTAATATCTTTTTTCTGTTCCAAGATCCCATCCAGAACATGACCTCACATTAAGTCATTGTGCACTGAGAAGTACTGGTGAGTAATATGTTGCAGAATGTCCAGAAATTTGGGCTTGTCTGAGGTTTTCTCGTGGTTAAATTGGAGTTATAGATTTGAGAGAGGAAGGCCACAGAGAAGTGCCATTATTAGCACATAACATCGAGGGTACATTTAATCACCATGATTAAATGCTGATAATTATCAACTTTGATCACCTTCCTTAAGTTGTATTTACCAGGTTTCTCCACTGTAGAGTTATTTTTTCCCCATTTCCACTGTACTTTTGGAAGCAAGTCATTAAGTACAGGCAGGACTAAACAGTAAGCTCTACCTCCTTGAAAGAAAGCTATGCCATTTGAGATTCTTCTTTGAAAAAGATATTTTTCTTCTCCCTTTTATTTTTTCCTCCCCCATTTATCTATATGATTATGAACTCATAGACATTTATTTTGTACTCTGAATTATAATCCAATACTACATTATTTTCTTGCTCAAATTGTTCCAAATTAGACCATTGGGAGCTCTTTCAGAATGATTCCTGTAATTAATTAGTCTGACTCCATTTTTTGATATTTGACTGCTAAAAAACAGCTTTTAAGCCTTACCCCACCCACTTCCCTTTGTGCCCCATATCTGGGCAAGCTGAGAAGGCCTGGATGCTCCCTCCTTTGGCACCAATGGAAAAGTCAAACAATACAAGTCTCTCCTTGCACATGGGAACTCTCGCCCTGGCCCCTAATCCTAACCACAATAAAAACCCCAAGCCAGTCTACTTTCCTTGCTTTATGGCCATTTCAAACCTACATGGAAGGCATGTGCTATTCTCCCTAGAGAAGTCAAACATGTAAATAATAAATGTTTTCATACCCTCTTGGTGTATGTATGGCATCATCAGGCTTGATATTCAACTAAATTTGGTTGCCAGTCCATCTACTTCTGTAGGTGGCCACAACTGTTCCTTTGTTCTCTGACGTAACCATTTTTTTTGGTTGAGTTCTCTCTCTCACACTTTCTCCTCCCTCCCCCAACTCTCTGTCTGTCTCTCTGTCTTTCTCCCTCCTTTTATTGAAGAATAGTATTAGAAACAGATACCTGAGCACGGGATATACCCGCTGTTACTGGAGTACAATCGCTTCTAGACCCTCTCAGCCAACAGACCTAGAAAATATATATGTATATTTTTCAGAATATCTCCTGCGTTGCAGCCCCATGATCCAAAAAAGATAAAATATAATTTATTATACATATGCATACTAACAAATAATTAAGTTTTATCGTTTTTCAAAGATGAAGCTCTAATTCAGAATTTAGGGCATTAGTAGAAATTAAAATAAATTATAGATTTTTCTAAAAGATTTAAATGAATATAAAAGTTGCTATTTTATTATTAACCAAAAGAATTTGAAAACATTTATCAAATTTTTGTCATCTCACATCATACTTTCACTCTTCTATATACAAACTGATTGGCATTTAGAAATTATAAATTCTAACCCTGTTTCATGCAAGGTATTTGAGAGGTCTATAATCTTTAAAGAGAAATATAATGAGCTCAATGCTCATTAAAATAAGGTTTCTAAGGAAGTGATGATTAGGAATCCAGATAGAAAGATACTTCTTACTACTCTAAGCTCACATCCTAAAAGTCTGGTTAGAAATGAATTCTCAGAGTATAACTACAACAGCACAACACTGAAAGACATAATGAAGAAATAAGCATTAAAAGTGATATAGTTCATACTGGATCATAGAGGAACTTTTCATATATATTAATATCTTTTCACTTATATTTCAATATATCTTCACAATAAATTCATTCTACAGCTTCATGACACACTATTCAATTCAAGTTAAAAGGCTAATCCATGGCTGTCTACCCATGGTATACCTAATAGAATGCTCCAACAG